CCAAGGTTTCCAGGTCCTGCATCAGCACCTGGCTCCTTCAACATCAATGGCTTCAGGGCAGAAAACACGTTCTTCGATAGCTCCAGGAACCCCTACTCAAGGGAAAGGATATCATCTGATCGGTTCTGGAGCTATCCTCAGCGAAGCTATTACTCTTGCATTCTTTACAACCAAGGTCGCATCTTTCCACACAAGCGCCTTGACGTTGAAGCTATAGCTGGTCTGCCCTGTCTAGAAGAAGCGTTGGATTGCTTCAGGCAAGTGGGTCTGCTGCAGTTTGTTACTGATGAAGAGCATTGGAATGAAGAGCTGCTGCTACAATTCTATGCCACACTTCACATCAAAGGGTATAGCAGAGATCCGAAGACTTGGGTCCTGGAGTGGATGACTGGCAACGTTCATCATGAAGCCAATGCATTTGACATCATTGAGCTCACTGGCCTGCCCACTCCTGGCGATCTCTTCGAGCAAGGCTGTCAGCTGCACGCTGAAGCTACTGAGAGCATCTTTCAACGACCAGAACCTAATATGAGTCAAATTCTCAGCATGATGAAGCCATTGCCTCAAGATGCTGCGTATCCCACAGAGTTCTTTGTTGAAGACCTTGAGTACCTACCCAGAACCATCTATCACATCATCAGGCGAACTCTCTGGCCTATCAAAGGGCACTCTCCAAATACCAAGCTTCACGGTGCAATGAAGACTTTGGTCTTCTATATACTTCATGGCAAATGCTTCAATGCACAGGACTTTTTCATACGCCAACTTGCTGCATCAGGCACTGATCTGTTTGGTTTGAAGTTCTACGCCCCTTGGATCATGCAGATGATCAAGCTACACTCCGCCATCTCTTATCAGCCCTCAGCCCGCAACCATCGGATCTTCTTGCCTGACGTGGACATGTCTACTGAAGCCATATATTCTGAACCTGCTAAGCAACCTCTAAGTCTTCAGAATGCAGAACATCAGAGTTTTACATAGAACGTTGAAGGCGTTGAAGTGGTTTCTCGGGTGTATCCTTTGGCTGGCACTACACGTGCACCACACCCTGCTTCAACTGAAGCCACTGACAGTGCCACTGCTTCAAGACCCAAGAAGCGCACTCGTGTTCTCAACGACCGAGAGCTTCTTGTGGCCCTACATCAGAAACAAGATAAGCATCATGACTGGCTGAAGCGTCAGATGAAAAGTCTCTTGGTGGATGTTAATCGCACTCGAAATCTTGCCACCAAGAATGCTTTCGTTGCCCATGAAACCTGTTGCCGCACATGGAAAGGGCTAACGATGATGCTGTCTGAAGCTGATCTTCAAGAGGATGGCTTCACTGAGAGATTCAAGTTTGACTCCACACCTCCTCGAAGGGCTGTGCTGCTAGGAACTCCATCCCTTGAAGACTCTGAGTTCTCTTCCTCTGCTGCCACAGTCACTGCCAGAATTATTGAGGAAGAAGACGATGCTACTTCACCGCCACCTGCTTCAGCACCTCCAAGCTCTTCTGCACCGCCAAACAACACCAACAACCCTGCTACTTCACCTACTCCTCATGGGAACGAGTAGAGGCTCTATGTCTTCAAACCTTTTTGGTCATTACTGACAAAACGGGGAGAAGCATATGATATTGATAGTCTTCAAGCGGGTTCATATGGGCGGGTGCCTTATATTTTGCTTCGTGCTTACAACTCTCGTTTTTTTGCTACATTTGGCTCTTATGAGTTGTAACACTTAAACTAGATGGTCGTCTGCTACTTATTTGCCACCTTGTTTTGCGAAGATAAATTCCGCATGTGCGACGATAAATTCCGCACTTAGCTCATTCTGCAGACGTCCATTTTCCATTATGCATGGCATTATCTTCATATACTTTCACATGCATAGTGGATTGTCATCATAAGTTGAAGTGGATCTCCACAAGTACCACCTGCCATGTGCATTTGCATTCCAAAAGCAAATTAACTTATATGCACATCTTCAGGGGGAGCCTTTGCAACTTATGAATACAATTCCTTATTCTTTACAGTTTCACAGATTATATTCCCCGTTGAAAACTTCAACTAGTTTGTCATCAATCACCAAAAAGGGGGAGATTGTAAGTGCATCTAGTGCCACCCCTAGTTGGTTTTGGAGTATTGATGACAAACCTAGTTGAGGGACTAATGTGTTTGTGAGAATTGTAGGATAACACAGGTAGAAGTCCCTCATGATTCGGTTTTACTACCAGAGATGACCCCTAAAAATGTATGAAGACATTGAAGTCAAAGGTGGTATATGAAGATATTCACATTGAAGACTATGACAAGAGAAGACACGATATGAAGCCTATGGAGCTCGAAGACTTAGATCTTTCGTAGTTCTTTTTCTTTTGTGTTGAGTCATAGGAACCACCGTACTGTTAAGTGGGGTCTAAGAGAACCAGTCATTGCCTAAACCAAAAACCTATGTCTTCGAGTGAAGACAATGAGAGCGAATCTTGTCCAGAGTCGGACAAGTCAGCTTTGCTTGTAGCCCAAGTAAAGTTGCCGTGTGAGTTTGAAATCTGACCGTTGGAACACGTGTCAGTTCCTTAGTGACCCAGGGTCATTTCGGACAAATCAGGTCGGGTTGCCAAGTGGCTATAAATAGCCCACCTCCTACAACCATAAACGGTTGGCTGCTCAGATTGAGAGTACGGCTTTTGTCGTTTGAGAGCAACCCACCTCGAAGCCTTTGAGAGAGGATTCCTTGCGAGGATAAAGCCCTAACCATCCAGAGCCAGAGAGAATTGGGCACCACTTAAGTCTTCTTGTCTGTGTGATCTGAAGACTTATTACACTTGAGGACTGTGCATCCTCCAGCCGGTTAGGCGTCATGTTCTGAGCATCCAAGAGACATTGTGGATTGCCGGTGAACGAAGTCTGTGAAGGTTTGGGAGTCTACCTTGAAGACTTACCAGAGTGATTGGGCGAGGTCTATGTGACCTTAGCTCAAGGAGAATACGGTGAGGACTGGGTGTCCTGAGCTGCGTGTTCAGGACTGGATGTCCGGGACTGTGTGTCCTAAGGTTTAAATACCTAGCCGCTCCAACCAGACGTACAGTTGTCACAGCAACTGGAACTGGTCCAACAAATCATTGTCTTCAACGAGTCACTGGTTTCATCTTCACTTCACTTTACTTACTGTTACTCCTTGTGAAGTCATTGTATGTTTGCTCTATCATTTGTCTTCACTGAGTGACTGCGTGTTCTGTTTGGCTTCACAATATCTTCCTACCTGATCCTTACTACCTAGCTGCTCTTAGTCTTTGTGCTTTCACTTCATTGAATACTTGACTATGGTTTGCCTAGTGTAGCCTACCTTCCGCTGCATGGTAATAGGTTTAATTTTATCGTTTGTCTTCAAAACTCCCATGTTCTGAAGACTTTCATAAAAATCGCCTATTCACCCCCCCTCTAGTCGATATAACGCACTTTCAACACCAGTTAGTTTTATATATCTTTTGTGCTTGATTTTTTATTTCTCTTTTATAAGTTGTTTATTTCTCTTTTATTATTTACTGTTGATTGAATGTACCTTTTTTGGGGTCTAGAAGTCATGTGGGAAGCTTTCATGTTCAGGAGCTCATGCCTTTAATATCCCTTTTACCGAGAAGATTTCATATTCAGGAGTTCATGCTCCAGCTGCTTCCAATGTCCCTTTTGCTCATAAAGTTGAAATGACCTTTTCTTCTCAATTTGCTGATGAGGTAAGTTTTTTTCTTCACTTTCTTGGGTCTCTGGAGCATCTCTCCCTTCACATGTTGGCGACACTACCACCGAATGTATTATGCCACCGTATCCGCTAATTTTGTTGTTTATAGACCACCTATGATAAAATTCAATCTAGCCAAGATATCCATGGTAATTAAGCCAGAGCAGTCCTCAACCATGAATTTCCAGATAACTTTCTTCAAACCTAGCTCAATTCAAATATCACTAGCACGTATGCAAGTAAAAAGGCAGTGTTGCACATCTTCGGTCCGGACCAAGCAAGACCGGGCATTGAGGCATACAAAGGATATGTCATTCGCTAAACTTCCATAGCAGGAAAAATATCCTTCCATGAACAACATTGCCTTACTAGGCTTCATAGCAACAACCGACAAAAAATCATGTTAAAATTTTATCTATAAAATCATAAATTTTGGTTGAAAAACCCTAAGTTTCAATGATTGATATTGAAAACATACAGTGCCCTCATGCGGGTTCCAACTACTTTGTGGATCTCGAGGCAATCGAGCGGCCAGACATGTCTTGGTAGGTGTGTGCCTCGACACCTGCTTGCCCTTGCGAATTCTAACCATCTACTCCCTTCATCCGGTGAAGAGTGTACATCTAGCTTTAAAATTTGTTCATAAAAGAGTGTACTTCTATCTTCCCAATGCACTTTAAAGTAGAAAAAAAATACTTCTCTCTCATTACACGGTAATCAAGACCAATAGCAATCTACACATGGTCTTCTTAATTTCTACATGCACTTAGCTCATCGGAGGGTGGGTAATTAAAGATGAGAGAGATGATGGCTTGCACCTTTCCAATGCATTTTTTACTCAACTTTATAATTTGTCCTAAAATTTCTAGATGTACATTTTTCACCGGGCGAAGGAAGTATGTAGTAACACTCATAGCATGTACACATAAAGAGTCTTACTCCGGAAGTAGTCGCGGACATTGTTTTGCTAAGATAGTGCCATGGTGTGCACTTCTCCTTCCCCTGGCCGCCGCGGCCAGTCGTATGGCCAGTCAGTATCGATTGTGTGGCCCACCAGTTCCGTAACATCTGTACTTCGCCGTTGCCTTGTTGGTATGGATGGCTGGCCCACCAGTCAGTGGAAGTAGTCTTCTTCCGTTACGGAACTGGCAACCCAACCGTAGTGTGATGGTGTGCATCCCTCCTTCCCCTGGCCGCGGCTTGGCTTCGGGTCTCCTCATCGAGTCCAACTCGAAAGGCTCCACTGCTCCAGGTGCTTCGCTCCACCAGCTGACGACATGGCCTCGCCGGCGACCGGCGATTCCGATCAGGTCCGTCGCCTCCTCCTCCTTCCCACTACTCCTCTCGCCGCCCAGTCCCCAATCCGTTCAGTCGCACATGCCCATACGATGCCAACGGCTGCCTCCGGAAGCTCGCTCCCGCCACCGCGACCCCGCCTTCCTGTCTCAGATCGAGCAAAACAGAGTAAGCTTGACCTGGGGGAGACACACGCACATACGCAGATGGCACCGCCAGTCGGTGGATCCACGGGGTGGTGCGGTGAGGGCCGAAGAAAGGCGGATGGGGAGGCAGCGAGGAGCCCTGGCGCTGGGAGGCGGGGGAGGCGCGGCCGCCGGGGCTAGGCACGGGGTGGGAGCGGGCAGCGACATGAGGCCGTGCGGGATAAAGGAAGTAGAAACGGGGTCGAGCAGTTGCGGCTCGCCGGGACAAAGGAAGAAGACCCGTTTGGCCCGGCGGGCACTGTGCTGGGCGGTGGGCTGTGGCCACGGTGATGGGGCATTGAGCGGCTGGGTGAAGAAGAGTGAGGTGGGGAAGGGGTAGCTGGACTACCTGCTGCTATGGGGATGAATCAGAGAGATTAGAGGAGAGAAATTGAGAGCATGATGGTTTGATGCAAAAAATTGGCATTGCCAACATTTGGCAAATGCCAAATATTGGCTAGTGCTTGGTTGGTTAGCAATTTTATTCGCCAACCTCACAAGAAGTTGCCAATTTTTGATATTGCCAATTGTTAGCTTGCCAAGTATTGGCAATGCCAAATCTTGGCATCAAACCAATTAGCCTCTGAGAGAGACTTAGGTGATGCTGCTGCTATGTATATGCGGCTGAGAAATCAGAGGGAGTAGAAGATAAATTTTTGTAGTCCGTTGCTGCTATATATATTGATGGGCTGCTGCTGCTAATGCATATTATTAGCATATACAGAGAGAGATGCTTGATGCTGCTATTTTCATTAATGTGCTGCTGCTGCTATGTCTCTAAATCATTTGAAATTATGAATTATATGTTGTATGGATGCCCGGCTGTATTAACAAAATAATTGCTTGAATTATGTAGAAAATGATACATGTGGTATGGCCGTATGGGAAAACCAGCTGTTCGAATTATAAAGGTTTAAAATGGTAGTTATAGCCTTATAGGATAGGATATTATTAAAATATAGATGAATGGAATATATGGGAGATGTTTTAGGGGAGCTTCTGGAGTTTAACAAATTTTAGGGGAGTCCCGGTTACAAAATATACGGGGAGAAATTTAAGGGAAACTGATGTACTTGCTCTTACTGCTGCCACTCCATTCCATTGCATGCAGGTCATCTCGCTTTACTCGTCTGTGCCCGGTCGGGTAACTTAGCTTCAGTTCAAATGTTAGATTAGGCTAGCCATGCTCGTTTGTTGTAGCTGCAGTCTGGCGGATTCCTATCGGATTGGGTTTTCCCCTTTCGCTTGAGTAATGTCTAGTGTGTAGAGATGACCAGAGAAATGGCTCGTTAGATAGATTGATTACAGATTGTGCGGAGACTATAATAAAATGCCCGAATTTAATAATAGCGCTACTTTTTAGTTTTGACTATTTTGGTGTTCCTGGTCTGTATTTAAGTAAAAAAGTCAAGAGATGTTGTTTTTCTTGTCTAGTGAATGATTGGTCAGAAACTCAGAATTGAGAGTGAAGACTGCACCTTATTTCATTATCACCAAACTATTTTATAGCAACCATGAGTGGGTTTGGCTCTGTTTTTGTATCATCCTTCAGGGTGTATGGTTCTAGAATTCTCAATATAGGTTTCAAATGTTTTTGCGGCCAAACTATGCTGTGTTGTTCCTTATAATAATTAATCCTATTGTCAGATGTATTCCCTTCTTTCGGATAAATTTCATCTGTAAGTTCCTCCGATTCAATTCTCCAGAAAATAACGAGCCTTTTCTTTGCCCTCCTTTTCCAGGTACTGGTGGAAGCAAATGGCTCTACACGGACATTGGTTTTGAATAGGCCAAAGCAGTTAAATGCTCTCTCCTCTGCAATGGTATGTCTGCAAGAGAGATTCAAGAAGAGTTCTACTAGTACTGGATCATACGGCAATAGTAGCCACAACTGCTTTCAGTATGGCTGAGGGGAGATCTTTTGGTTTCATCTTCCAGGTTACAGAACTTCTGAAATGTTTCACTTCTTATGAGGAAGAAAACACAGTTAAACTGTTGATTGTCAAGGTAATAAATATTAAATAGCACTGCATGCTTTTTGTCGTTTAATATTTGACCGACTTCTTAAGTATAGCCTATGTATGTCAATTGATAGCACTGCATGCCTGTGTGTGTCTTGTTTTCTGGTCCTGTAATCTGGGTTACCCTTCGAATATTTGGATGTTGTATATTAACACGTAACTAGAAATAGAAATTACTGAGCAACAAAGCAGTAACAGTGGACATCAGTTACCCAATCAATTTTCCCGAAACCGTGCAGTAAGTAATGTTTTCTGTACTTAGTCTGGTTTGGAGCTTATTACTCCTTGCTGTTTTTAATTGCTTGATTTTAGGGAAAACACAATTATGGTGTTCCGTGATATTTGTTGCTGAGCATTGCACTCGTTTTTACCATTCGTACTCCTTGCTGAATTCAAGTGTATGAATTATTGGCTTGTTGTAACAATTTCACATTTAATATTCTGGGCGTTCTTTATTTTTCTCTTGCTATTGTTGTTTGACCTCATTTTGTTTTTCATTTCATGCTATCATTATGTTAGTTCTTTTAGATTGGTATAGTTGTCTCTGTATGTTCCTTCCTACTTTAACTTACCCTGTAACCCATGTGTCATGGGATTCAACCCTCATTTTTTTCAGGGGAAAGGAAGAGCATTTTGTGCTGGAGGTGATGTTGCTGAAGTCGCCCAATCTATAAATAATGGTACTAATTACTTAAGGCGTCAATGATTACCTAAAGCTGATTGCTTCAGCATGTTTTCCTTTGACTTCTGTCATCTTTATTTGTCCAAATCGACTTCAGACATTAGCATTTAGCCTTTATATTTATCATTACTGAAGGCATTTTATTAACTTAATTGTATGTTCTCTGAAATCAGATACCTGGAAATATGGTGCTGATTTTTTCCATACTGAATTTTTGTTAAACTATATCATTGCAACTTATAGCAAACCACAGGTGAGCTGCATCCTTTGAAATTCATTCTCCATATAATTGTTTTGTCGCTGTTGCGCACTACTAAATGCTACATCATTCAATTGTAGGTTTCTCTACTTACTGGAATTGTCATGGGTGGAGGTGCTGGTGTTTCTATACATGGAAGGTTTCGGGTTGCCACAGGGAACACGGTATATTCTATGAAGCATACTCAAATGGCCTTTTGCTTCCTGCGTTGCTTATATAGCTATATAATTTAATTGGGGTTGTAGTTGGAGTACACAGAATGTTTATTTATCATGAGGTAACTTAAGATCTGCTTGTTTGGGGTTGTCACACACGGTATCCAGTTTTTAACTGTGCAATGATGGCATGTTATCTTATTTAAGTCACTCCTTAAAAAAATTATGAAGTACTTTATGCATTCACACTCATATGCTATACTTGTTTACTAATGCTGGTATTGCACCATGATGATGTCAGAAATTTAGTTATAGAGGTTATACTCCATGTTGGCCCAAAGTAAGTACTTAATCAAAATAATTAATTCATGACCAAATGCTTCCCATAATGTGTACTTTTTCTCAGCCAACCAATAACACATTTATGTGGGCTCTGTCTATGCTAGTAATTCTTATACAGTTATACTTAGTTGGGGTATGTGGTAGATTGATGCCCTTTTATAGATAGCCAGCATGCTTGCATGTAGCAAAATTTCGTGTTCATCTATTTTGAATTTCTATGCAGGTTTTTGCAATGCCAGAAACAGCACTGGGACTCTTTCCAGATATAGGGGCTTCTTATTTTCTTTCTAGACTACCTGGGTTCTATGGTGACCTTTTTTTTCTCCCACCTTCGTTATTCAAATGAATTTCACACATAACAATGCCAGTTTGCTCTGCACTCACTATATGTTTATGTACTGTTGTATTGATTTATCTTTACCTTGCTTAGTAATTTCGGTAGGTTGCCCTTGAGCTAACTCTGTCGAGAGATTTTGGATATTATTCACATCCATGGACAGTTGTGTATCCTTGGACTCTCCCTTAACAATTTTGATGTGAATCATGTGCTTATTTGATTGTGATCAATGGCGTTCCTTATGAATTACCTTGTCGAATTATGAAAAAACACATGCTTCAGGTGGCAATGGGAGCATTATCACTTCATCATGGAAGTTTTGAAAAATTAATCAGTTTATCTTGTAAAAAAATAAATTTAAATCTTCATGTGCATGGTTGTGGAAATATATGTAGCCAAAGTTCTGAATGTCTATTTAATTTCATGGTAGGGATCAATTGTCAGATAATTGATTGCAGAACTATCTTGGGAGATTGTTTTGACTAAATCGTTAGTGACGTCTTTCTTCAGGAGAGTATGTTGGCCTTACTGGTGCAAGATTGGATGGTGCAGAAATGCTTGCATGTGGCCTGGCAACTCATTTTGTCCCTTTGAACGTAGGTTTGCTGATGATTTAAGTTTGATCCTCAGTGCATATCAATGTGATCGTTACTTACGTCCTTGGAAACTTGAGCAATGCAACGTGCATGCTTTGCTAATCTTGTTGATCTAACATCTGCAAGTTCTTGTCAGTTGACCTACATCTAGTACGTTATGTGTGTGTCAGCATTGCTCTATAATTCCTAGTATATTTTTTCAGAGGATGCCACTGCTTGAAGAATCACTTAAAAAGGTGGATACTTCTGATCCATTTGCTATATGTGGAATTATTGATCAATTTTCACAACAGCCATCTGTGAAAGGAAGTAGTGCTATGAATAGGTAAGAAGGCGATTGTGTTGACATTATCCCTTTAATGCATGTGGAGTTTACATTGATGTGTATGTGTAGTTTATACTATTCATGAAAAAAAGATAAGTTCTACTCCTGCGCTGTCCCTTACATGCATGAGATATCCTTGAGACCTTGACATCTTTGATGCTAACATGTCATGAAAATTCTCACACAAAATTACTTCGAGCTTTACTAGCTATACGTAATCTGTTAGCTTGCCTGCCCATGATATTTATTAACATTCTGATCCAATTGATGTAAAGACGGCAAAGCATGAATAACCTGGATCGATCATTTAAACTTGCTGTTGTCATCGTGTTCTAATTTGGTCCTAAGGCCCATGTTAGATAGTGGCTGAAGTCCATGTTTGCACGTAATTAAGGCCATCTATCTACTTTAAGAAATGCTTCTGGTTTCTCAGATAGCTGTTTTTACTATGAGCTGCATGATCCATTGATGTTTCGATCAATTATGTCCTGATTCCTCTGTGTTACTTCCCTTTTTTCTTTTGTGCTCCAAGGATGGAAATCATCAACAGATGCTTCTCCAAAAGAACAGTCGAAGAAATCATATCCGCTCTTGTGAGTTTTGATGGAGTTAGTTGTGACTTTCTATGGGCCTATGTGTTTTGACCTGCTAAATTTGGTATCTATCATGTCAGGAACAAGAAGCTCCAAGTGTGGCCGATAAATTGGTTACTGCTGCAATCCAGTCATTGCGGAAGGCTTCTCCTACTAGTCTGAAAATCTCTCTCGCATCGGTATCTGTCAAACACTTCCAGAACATTATACTTGTAATGTTGTGAGTTGTCTAATCGTTTTGGCGTGCTATGTTATTGGTTAGTAGTTAATGACTTAATGTTTGGTTTGACCCATTGACCCTTTTTATGGTTTCGTATACTGAATATGTCTATTATTGTTAGGACTATCGAGGTAGTTGTGGTAGGTAGGAGGCTGGGGACCTAGACTGTTGGACCCTTGAGTCTCAAACAATGCGCAATATATCAACCCCATAACTAGTCTTGTTGACCAATTATGAGCGAGTTTCAAAAACCTTGGGAGTTGTTGGTGTGGAATCACACATGTGTAGTATTTAGTTCTCTGCACAACTGTGTGTATATAGCAACTAGATGGCAGATAATTCGAAAGCACAGTGGGTTGCACTGGAAACCCATGCATGTCGCACTTCCAATTTTTTTAAAAAAACAGTAATGTTGGTTATGCGCTGTCTTATGCACTCGGATTTTTTCATCCAATGCATGCACTTCCAATTTTTTTTTAAAAGATTACTATTTATACCCACTACAAAACAAATACGTACAAGATATAAGTGAATAGTATTCGATACTAGTCACTCTTGTTTTTTTTTGTACATGAGACACAAAGGGTCATATTATTGTGAAGTTTTGCAGGTTCATGAGACATAAATGGGCATATTCTTTTGAAAGTTTTGCAGGTGAACGAGATACAGCATAAGCATGGCCTTCATCCAAGATTTTTTTTACATTTTCCTTAAAAAAACTTGGAAGTGCTGCATGCAGTATGGGTTGCGCACACAAATCTGCTTTTGTAGATGTGTCACTTCTTTTGAACTACACTTGCCACCAAAATTTGTTCTTGTAGTTATGATGCCTTGTGTGAAACTCTAGCTTACCCTTGAGGCCTTGTTCGATTAATCCTCTTGCCAAGTGGATTGGAGAGGATTAGACAGCGTGGCGGTGGATTTTGACTTGCAGGGATTTAATCCTCCTCAATTCCCATCAAACCGAACAAGCCCTAAGTGGGTCCAGTCTTATCCCTCTTCTCATCTCCTCTCGCAGCTACCCCAACTCCACTTCCTTGTCTTCGCTTGCATTCTTTCCTGATAAAACTCCTGCCAACTGATTGACAGCAACCATCAGCTGGTGCCAGTTTCTCAGGTCATATCTGGATGGACTGTTTTGGATATTTCCATCCACATGAACTTTCTCAAGCTCACGATGTTAAATATTAATGTGACTTGGTAGAAGTTGAATCAAAGAGCTCACTGTGAGTCGGCGACAATCATCTTCTAGCCTGTTTCAGTTAGATAATCTGATATCTCTGGGCATAAGGTTTGTCTTGGACCTGTACATGGTGGAAGTTCCAACCTTGTCACGAGCAGAATCAGGGTGTCAACTGTCAAAGCACCAGCTATCAGCATCATTACATATTAAAATGAGCAGCTTTGGCACACAGAGAAGTAATTGGGTTTGCACAAAACACCAGCACCAAAAGTCTTGGTTAACATAAGAAGTAATTGGGTTTGCACAAAACACCAGCACCAAAAGTCTTAGTTCACATAAGAATTCACGTGTTAGGAAGAACTTTTTTGGTTTTCATCAATGCATGAAGCAAGCTTTATGTCTTGTCATGCGGACGTCAAATTTAGATGTGCCATGCATGTCCCTTTGCATGATGGTTCTTACTTTATCCCTTTGACTATTGTTTCAGATAAGAGAAGGGAGACTGCAAACTGTTGGTGAGTGCTTGCGCCGAGAATATAGAATGGTTTGCCATGTGATGCGCGGTGACTTCAGCAGAGATTTCTTTGAGGTAATGTCAACATCTTCAGCAGTGGTCCTGTTTATTCGCAATCAATATATCTAAAATCTGATTGCTATCGCAGGGATGCAGGGCGATACTTGTAGATAAAGATCGAAACCCAAAGGTCATATCACTTCATATGTATAATGGACTTCAGAAAATGCATTAGACATTTTCTTTCTATGGAGTACCCTCTGAATTGAATTGTATTGTATTGTGTTGGTACATCTGTTGATTGCAGTGGATGCCGCCAACTCTGGATCAAGTGCATGATGGGGTAGTTGCAAAATATTTCTCCAAGGTCGACGATCCACAGTGGGAAGATTTGAACCTACCAACTAGGTCTTCCCATGGAAGAAGAATTGTTCCCAAGCTCTGATGGAAGTCTCATGCGGAGGATTCAGATGAAGCCTTGACGGGTGCTCGTGAGTAAAACATATGTCTTGAATGAATCCATAGACATAACTGATGGAATAAATCGGAAGTACATCTTGTAGATAGATTAACTGTTATTACCACACAAATTTCTTTGTCAGTTGCTACTAGTATAATACTGGAAGGAAGTAAGTGTTAGTGATATAATCCTGGCTGCGGTTGCTCTCCAAAGCTGGAGCTTATGTTACAGGCTACCGGCTTCCACGGTGCAATGGCAGCATATTTGTACGGCCCGCTGGTCCCCTGATGGCGGCCCATTGGCGGCATACACACGTACAGTGGTCCCTCCACAGATTCAACAACTTCTATAGTTTAGTTATGATAAATTTTTAAACACAAGAATAATGGCTTACGCACTTGTATACCTAACCCCTCTTCCATAGTCCAGCTCACCAAGTCACTATAAAATAAGACCCTCGTGCCTTTCTTTACGAATCTTTGTCTAATAATAAGTAGAAAAAAATAGCAGTTCACATGTCTTGGTCGGACAACTGGTTCTACTACTAAAAAAACTGGTTACTACTAAAATCCAGCGGCTTGAACTGGTGAAGAGAAAACAAATAGCTGGATAGCAAAACCAAAACAGAAATCAAATAGCTGAGAGCACACCGTCCGTCGCTTTCCTCGCTTGCAACCACTCTTTTTTTCTTCTTCTCTGTATCTATCCAGCACATAATACAAATGAACCGAGCGATGGATTTACTTCATTTTTTTATACTTGTACTTAGTCCGTTTATCGTATGATCTGGTCAAGATCTTCTCTCTCCCCACCTTTGTGAGTCATGCGTGCATGCGCCGACACCTCATGAATGATTCCTTTTTTATCTTTCTCTGCCTTTACAGTTGGTCACAGCGATTCTCTTTGACTAAAATTTGATTCCTCTGTGCATTTTGTCCTGTTCTGCTCATATTGGGCTGTCTAGGCCTTCAAAGGCCCGGCCTTGGACTAAGAAGCCCAGCCCCGTAGCCTTCACATCCACATTTTTCTAAATGGAACATTCGGAGCAACTAGTTAACGAGCGCTCCTTCGGGAGCCTCGCAACGATCAGCACCATTTGACGCGCTCTCAGCCATTCGCCACATGTCGCGCTCTGGACGCTTTCTTCGGATTTTATTTTTTTATATTTTTCCGCACGCGTTTTTGGTTTTTAAATGATTTTCCGGGTTTTTTCGACGTTTTGGTTTTTCCCTGGTCTTCCTTAGCTTTTTGATAAAAAAAATTTTGGGAAAAATTTTTTGCGTGAAAAAATGCGTTTTTTTCCTTTCGCGAAAGTCATGGTTTTTTTTCTGCGAGAGGCACGGTTGTGCTTTAGCGAGAGTCACGGCCGTGCCTTTCAGAAACGAAAAAAAACGCGTTTTCTGATTTTTTTTCTTTCGCAAGAGTCACGGTTTTGTTTCCGCGAGAGTCACGACCGTGCCTCTCGAAAAGGGAAAAACAAAACGGTTTTTTTTCTTTCGCAAGAGTCACGGTTTTTTTTTCTTTCGCGAGAGTCATGATTTTGCTTCTACGAGAGGCACGGTTGTGCTTTCGCGAGAGTCATGGCCGTGCCTCTCAGAAAGGGAAATAAATACGCATTTTTTGTTTTTTTCCTTTCGCGAGAGGCACGGTTGTGATTTCGCGAGAGTCACGGCCGTGCCTCTCGGAAACGAACAAAAACCGTGTTTTCTGTTTTTTCCTTTCACGAGAGGCACGATTAATATTTCACGAGAGCCACGGGGTGCCTCTTTCGGAAAGAAAAAAAAACCGTGCTCTCGGTTTGGTTTTTTCATCCGGTTTTTTCGTGAAAAAAAGTTCGTTAAAACCTATCAACATGGGATCTAGTTTTGAAGATCTCAACGCGAGGAATCCAATGGTGAAAACGGTTTGAGATTTGGACGCACGGTTTAAAAGATAAAACGTTTTGAATAAACAGATCTACGAAAAAAGAAAAACTCACATGTTGCGACAAGTGACGCGTTGCATGTGCGCCATTTGTCGCTTCATGGGAAAGTGGAGTGTTCTTTGCAACGGGTGCTCCTTAATTAGTGATTCGTGGAACATTCCCTAAAAGATAAAATAAAAATGGAACACCATTCGGGATTTCTAATCGTAAGGCTAAAATTGGTATTATTTGCAAATTTAACTTAATTTATATACGAAGGCTTCTTATAGCTAATCAATGAATCTAGCAGTCAATCATGAGCGGAATTGAATGGAGCACAAGCACGCGTGTAAGCATCGCATTGCACGCGCCGGTCGAACTGAATTGAATCCATTCCAACCACTAGCTGGCCCCGGCCGGGCATTTGATTTAGTAGTAGTAGCTAATTCCTCGGCAACGAAAATTTTCCCGATCGAATCCTTCCCTTTCAGTGTATGGCCCTTCCCTTTAACTAATTCTGTTGCCATTCCGTATGGGTCACCGTCGTTTCTTAATTGCCTACAAGGAGCACGCACTGTGCATACGGAAAATGTGGTGTGGCTGTGTATATGAAGAATGTGGTATCCACGTAGTACGTACAATGTGTTTTACGGCACCGTGCGTGGTAGCTAGTTGCTACTGCTACTGGCTCAATCTAGTTAACTGGAGATGATGTAACGGATGATGTAACGGGGTCTGTAGCGTGAAAATGTTTGGTTATAAAACCACGGGTGATAGACGTGACGTATCTGAGTAAATTAAAATAAAAGCCACACATTGAGGCTAGAGTTGCAGATTACCATCACTATTGATGAAATTTTAAGAACAAACACCCATTTTGAGGCTGTTGTGTAACAAATTGCACCGGGCACCAACCAAGCAATCGTCGTTTTAAACCGTTTTCCGACAACGCGGGCACAACTATCGGGTTGATAAGACTACATATTGCGGTTGACTCCTTCCCTAAGAAAAGTCGGTTTCTTTGTTTCCCGCCGGCGACGCCGCCGATTCGCCTCATCTCCGATGGCCTTAGGGCCATGGCGGTGGATCCCGGTCTTTACTGGCGGGAGGGCTTACTTTTTAGATGTTCCTTCGAGTTTTGTTAGGTTTTGTGTCCTGTTCAGGAAGACGAGACGCCGCCGGCTACCTGGAGATGCAATAAAATTCTCCCCGCCTAGCCCCGTCCTGGTAGTGTGCCTAGTATCGTCGGTGCGCGTGTGGAGGTGTGTCTACAGCGGATCTATCATTCGTAGGTTTGCTCGGATCTGGTCGTAGTTCGTCTAAGTTCATGTGTCTTCAAGTTGGATCCTTCCAATCTACGTTACTCTTCAGCGGTGGCGGTTGCTGTTCTGCTGCGCTGTGATACGTCTCCAACGTATTTATACTTTTTTATTATTCCATGCTGTTATATTATCATTCTTGGATGTTTTATAATCATTTTATATCATTTTTTGATACTAATCTATTGACATAGTGCCAGAAACCCTAAGGGAGTGGACGAAAATCAATTCCAGCCGCCGCAGAGTCCCGAACCACCAGATCCAATCTAGACACCATTACAGAGGGGTTCATCATGTCCATTGGTGCCTCTCCGATGATGTGTGACTAGTTTTTTGCAGACCTTCGGGTCCGTAGTTAGTAGCTAGATGTCTTCATCTCTCTCGTTTGATTCTCAATACAATGCTCTCTTGGAGATTGAAAGCACAAGTGCTCCCAGGGTGATTTTGGTAATTAATGTCAACATATTTCTTGTTGGACTAATACCTTTATCCAGTATATTTCAGATGAGTTCAACAGCGGAGTGGCGTGGACAAGAGGATGTGGAACCCCTTCAAGATGCTAAGGACAGAAGATTGGCAAAAGCTCAAAAAGCTCAAGACTCCTCATTTTCATTTCAGTGATCCAAGATCATATTGAGTCTATAGGAAAGCCAATACTATTAATGGCTTGCTTGCTCAAAATGCTTAGTGATATGCTTCAAAAGCCCTCAACCACTTTCTCATATCCACATATGTCCCAAACCAAAAGTCAAACTCGGCCACATCGATTTGATCTATCTGGCGCCACCGAGTTCACTTGATATAGCCACTGCCAGAAACCCTAATCAGTCCGGTCTCACCGATGGAATCTCGGTCTTACCGAGATGGGCTTGCAAGCTCTCTGTTGTCTGTTGCAATTATCTCGATCTCATCGAGACATGCAACCGGTCCCACCGAGTTTGCTTGACCAACTCTCTGTTTTGCTTATTACCAAAATCGGCCCCATCGAGTTTGTGTAATCGGTCAAACCGAGTTGAGGTTTTACCCTAACCCTAGCACACCGGTCCCACCGAGTTGATCATATCGGTCTCACCGAAAAATCTAACGTTCACATTTTGAACCATATCGGTCCGACTGAGTTTCTCGATTTGGTCCCACCGAGTTTGATGAATTGTGTGTAACGGCTAGTTTTTGTGTGGAGGCTATATATACCCCTCCACCCATTCTCCATTCGTGGAGAGAGCCATCAGAACGTGCCTACTTCCAGCATTCATTTTCTGAGAGAGAACCACCTACTCATGTGTTGAGACCAAGATATTCCATTCCAACCACAAGAATCTTGATCTCTAGCATTCCCCAAGTTGCTTTCCACTCAAATCATCTTTCCACCAAATCCAAAGTTGTGAGAGAGAGTTGTGTGTTGGGGAGACTATCATTTGAAGCACAAGAGCAAGGAGTTCATCATCAACACACCATCTATTACCTTTTGGAGAGTGGTGTCTCCTTGATTGGTTAGGTGTCACTTGGGAGCCTCCGTCAAAATTGTGGAGTTGAACCAAGGAGTTTGTAAGGGCAAGTAGATCGCCTACTTTATGAAGATCTACCCAAGTGAGGCAAGTCCTTCCTGGGCGATGGCCATGGTGGGATAGACAAGGTTGCTTCTTCATGGACCCTTCGTGGGTGGAGCCCTCCGTGGACTCGCGCAACCGTTACCCTTCATGGGTTGAAGTCTCCATCAACGTGAATGTACGATAGCACCATTGAGGGAGTCCTGGATTAGGGGG